TCACATTCATCAAGAAAACAAAAGGAATTTTTATAAAATCAACAACAACAACAACGACGACACTAAAGTAAAATCAGACATCACGACAAAATATTACAAACACAAGCCGTGATACAATGAGAACTGAACTACAGAGAAGTTAGGCTCGTGGAAGAAAATGCTATTCATATATATATATATATATATATATATAAATGTGTATACAAGCACACTCACTTACATACGCAAGCAAAATGTCATTTACACTCACTCGCTCACACATTTAAACTAAACTTACAACCGAGTCAAAACAAGCCAACAACATTTTATTGCATCTTTGCGTCAGGGGTTTCATTTTTATTTTTACTTTATTTTTTATTTTAATTTTTCTTATTCTGTTTTTTTTGTTTTTTTTTCCTTTGTTGTGTAGTATTGTTACACAACTCGAGCATGTTCAAGTGGTTTCTCAGTCATAAAGTAAAAAAAAGCTTGGGTTTCTAAATTGAAACAGTGTACCAAAGACAACAACTCCTTAAGCACGCACTAACATTTCTTTACCAAAGGCTGTTGCTGGTGCTATTGCTGTTTCTTCCTCTTTTTCTTCCTATTCTTATTTCACTGCACTTGCCTACTTTCCTTTTTGTTATGCACAAATTTATGCACATTAAGCAAGTGCCTGACGAAAACAAAGATAGAACGATATCTGACAATGTTTTTTTTTTTTTTTTGGTTTTTTCCTTTTATTTTTTTATTTCCCCCTTTAGTTAAATAAGACAAGACGCATTGTGAAGCGGGCATTAGCGAGGCGAAAAGCACTGATGGTACATAGATAAAAAACGTTTATTGTGCACACAATGCCCGCTGGTTTTATTCTGATATTTATGGAAATGATTCTAAACATTTCTTCACTTTTTCATGTTTATAAGTGCAATTCAATCACAAAACTTTTTTTGGATATATATTTTTATAAAGGAAACATAGGACATACCTTCCTCAACAAATGAATTCATCAAAAGTAAAACAATACAAAGATTGAGTTGAGGCGAAAACAATATTTATAAAGCCCTTCGATATACTTGTACAAATACGGACAAGAGTCACAAGCTTTTCCGTCTCGTTCTTTCAAAGGAACAATTTCGGCTTAATTTAAGCTATTTGGGGATTGCCAGTTGCCCAACAAGGATGATCTGTTTAAGTCAACATAACGTCGTTAAAAGTACATACACAGTAAAGATAACAATATATAGCCCACGATCCAGGCTGAGTTCTAAACTTCTACAGTAGGAAGCTCTCGACTAAAGCACCTTCCGCGACATCAATGTTCACCATCTATTTCAAACTATACTGGAGGTACGGATAATTCGTATAAAAAAGTGACTTTACACTGCGTAAAGCTTAAAGCTTTCGAAATGCGGGCAACTAGGGATTTTAAGTTGCTTGAGGGAAATTACTCCACGTTTCGTTGCATGCGGAATATCCGCAGAGAACCTTTCCCATTGGGCTGCGGGGAAACGCTGTTTGAGGACTTCCATGAAAGCGTTGATTATCCCATAATTCCAAAATCACGGTAGATAATGCGGTATTAGCTGGGCCCCGCTTTGTCCAAAGGATAGAAAATTGCCTATGCATAATTTTTGATTCTGGTACTTCAAAAGTAGTTGAACTTCATAATTGGCCTATTGGTCTATGGTTTGTGTTAATAGAATTTTTACGCTTTTACAAAATTGAAGATAGTTTTCTCCAGAGTAACGCAGCTTGCTATACCGCTAACTTTAATTTCTTAAAACATTGCTTATCAGTCGAAGATATACGAACGTTTTTTGCTATCATCTAAAACTTGAAGTGATCATACGTTGACTGAAAACAGAATCATTCAAATTTCAACTTCAATTTGTCGTAGAATAAGAAAGAAAGCGAACTAAAGCTTGCTACGAGCTTTTCCTAAAAGAAATTAATTTTGCCTAAAAATTTGTTACATCTTAATGCGAATATATCTGGTATAGAATGAAAATATGGACACATTTCCATCTCACTACTTTTGCTTGTCGCCCTTTTTCTTTCTCCCATCGTAACCTTTTCACCTACTTTTCTACCAATTTCCCCAACGTTTTCGTTATTCTTTCCATCCTCTTCTCACACACCCGAAAAAATAATGTTACTACACTCTCATCTTTTCGTCATGAATTAAAAATCTAAAACGTAAGAAAATTATATCCAGACCGAATGTTTTATACCCATCAACGTCCGCCTGAGTGGCCGAGTAGGCTAAGGATCTCGACTAACAACTCAATGATCGTGGATTCAAATTGCAATTGCGGTAAGATTTTCAATAGAGCAGATAGCCGCAGATACTAGTGCTTTAAGAATTTAGTCCTTGAACTTATTTCTCTAGCTAAATTAATCATAATAATAATAATAACAATAATAATAATAATACTAATAATAATATATCCATCATCGAGTAAGAAAAAGGGAAAGAACTCTCAATTTTCATGCTCTATAATATTGGGTGAGCGTGGACGATTTTTTCTAATTTCAGAATAAAAGCGAAAAGCTAAATAGTTTTATCTATATGTTGTATTTTACGAAAAGCAAAATTGTTCGCAGTTTTTCTCTAATAGGCGTGTGGGTGTTGCAGGGCTATCTTTAGACTGATTTGAAATTTGATTTTCAAATTTCTTTTGCAAATTCTTCGCTTCATTTTTGCGGCCAGGAGTATGTTAACAACAGAAATTACAAAGACCGACAGACGGACATGTTTATTCGATGCTTATCGAGAATAAACATACTTTGTAGGATCTCCGAAACGTGTTTCTTCACTTTCTTGCAACCAATTCAGCTAAAACGCTAGCAATGATTAAAACTGTTTTCATTTATTAAGATTTGTGTCGTAACTTTACGCATTTTATGTCATATACATGAAAAATTTTTGAACATCAAAAATTAAATGAGAATTTCAGTCATGTACGGTTATGATGGCAACGTAACACTCGAATTTAAATCACTTAGCACAGACACCGTTGTTCCATTAGAGCGATATTCCAACACCAGTAAATATATCTTGTTAATTGAATTTGTTTCTAATGTTGTTATTGTTGTTGTTTTTGTTGTCTTTTATAGTGTTTCACACGGAATAATTTGCGCACATTAACAATCTACAACAACAACGAAAATAGCTATTTAGCTTTCATTATTCGGTCCTTACATAAGCATATTTATGTTTATTTGCTGCATTCTTGAACGTGTCACTAAACAAATTGCTGAATAAGAACTTTTTTTTTTCAACTTACTTTGAGTCGTTTTGTAAAACGATTTAAGAGTTAAGCGTGTATTGTTTAATGTTAAAATATCATCCGCGCATATCGCTGCACACTTATAAAGCTCCTTAATGGTTGTACTTATTGAGCCAAAATGTAAATGTGTTCCTGAATAACTACATGTTTGTGAAAGTGTGTGTGTGTGTGTGTGTGTGTGTATGTGTATGTATGTATGTATATATATATATATATATATATATGTGTGTGTGTGTGTGTATGTGTATGTGTATGTGTGATTTTTGCTTTCGTTGTTAAAATAGCAAAGAGTTTCATGATGAGATAGTCCTTTTCTTCAATTCTGCTTATATAATATTTTGTGCGCATAGATGTAGCACTGTTAACAGCAGGGAGAAAAGTACAAAGGTACACGCGATTGCCGAGTCACAATTTAATAAGAAAACTTGATGTCGCTTAAAAAGAATGTTTATGGAAATTTTTCACTTTAACTTGTGAAAAGTAATAAATGTTTAACAGAATTCCTTTTAAGAGGTGCTACAAATCCCACCCATACAATTTAAGTACGCACACACATGTAAGCATGCATTTACTATTCCCCTACAATCATTTACACTGCCAGCAGATAACCGAGTATTATTTCTTCCTCCTTCTTTTTGCCTCCCGCCTTTGAAAACTCTTAACAAAGAAAAGATAAGCAAAAAAAAAAAAAAAAATAAACACAAGAAAAAACAAATAACAAATTAGAAAACTTTTAAATAAATTCAACAGAAACATCTAAAAAAAAAAAAAAAAAAATCGCAAGAAAAACGTTATTTAAAAAACAACTAAAAGATCATAGAAATTTCTTCCGAGTTCTGAGGGGAAATTATAAATCACACAAAGAATAAAAGAATTTCCATTGTCTATAAATTAAATATATATATACAGTTATATGGAATTAAAATATATATAGCGGTATAAAGATAAAGATATAGATAAATATATAAATATAGAAAAAGATAAAGATAACGGCTAGAGGTTCGAGATAAAGACTAGACCTAAAGATAGGAACAAAGATGGATAAGGAAATGGCGAAAAAAGACAACGGTAGGTATAGGTATAGGATAGGAAAAAAAAAGAAAGGGCAAGAAATCATCATTATTCCTTCATTTTGAATTGGTTAAATAGAAAACTGGCAAAAGCTTTACAATTGAAATTGAAGACCGAGCAGCGTTTACGTTTTAGCTACGAAAACAAAAAGACAACATTAATGTTCTTACCTTGACCTTCGCGTCGAAGGATCTTTCATAACCATAGCCTCTGAAATATCACCAAAACGGCTAAAATAGTCTTTTAAACTCTCTGCAATGAAAACAATAAATAGGGAAAAATTATATATAATAGCAAGTCTCAAACAGATAAGAATACTGCATACCAGGCAATCGAAAATGTATTAAGCCCAGTACGCATTTGTTAATTACACATAAACTATATATAGAAATTAATAGGCGTATTCTATGCGACAACACATACATCTCTTTTGACCAATCGTATTGTAGTCAACAGCAAATGTCAAACTGATATCTGCGCCTCTTTGGTATTCACAAATTTCAATAATCATCGTCACCAATCAGCAGATGAAAAAGAATTTTTCTTATTAATAATCTACATTATAACAGATCTCATTGGAAATTCGTTCCGGTTTTTTTCTGCGTTACGGTGTTGATGGCTATATGTCGGGCAACGCTCACCTTACTGTCGCAAACAAACTAAAACATGTGCTTAAAATTCCAGTTTACATTTTTTTT